TGATATAATGGTACATCTTCCAATTCACCTTGCACAAGAGGCATGGCTTGGAGGGCCAGTACACTGTAGATGGATGTATCCCCTTTGAGAGGTAATGAAATTTAATCATTTACCTTTGTATTTGCTTTAAAGATTGTTTTGTCTAAAAATAATACTCTGCTGGACTATTTGCAAATGTAAACAGACTGTAAAAAATAGATCAAGAATTGAAGGTTCGATATGCGAGGCATATACGACTAAAGAAACATCTTATTTCTGTTCATACTATTTTGAACATGATGTGCCATGTTTGAGAAATAGACTGAATCGGCATGACGATTGAGGCGAAATCGATCCTTTGACACTACCCTTTACCATTTTTAATCAATCAGGTAAAGGAGGTCCAAAAAATAGTCCAAAGCGAAGGTTGTCTGAGATGGAGCTAAAGTCAGCTACAACACATGTATTTTTGAATTGTCCTGAGGTTTAACCTTATTATAGGTAAGTATATATTCGTATATATTACAGATTTTTATATTAGATCTACCACTGATTTAACTAATAAATATTATAATGACAGTTACTTTGTAGGTACATATGGGCAAGATGTTGTTTATCCCAAGTTTTCAGAGTGGTTTAAAGAATTTGCAAGTATTACTTATTATTTAACATGATTTTTATTATATGTAAATTAATTATATGGTTTTTTAAAATTTTAAATTATATTTAATTATATATATAGGTTCATGATCCAGCTAATGGCATTAATGACCCATTTTCATTTCAGGAAGATTATCATAAAATGGTAGAAGAATGACAACAAACTCAGTATCCTTCAACTCAACTAACACCTGATGATATGACTTCATTGTGGACAGAGGCAGTGGCTGGAGTAAATAAAGACAGAGCCTACGAACTTGGAGTACGTCACCTACAGGTAATCCAAACCCACTCTTAGCCAATTCTTCTTCTTCTCAAAATCAAGAATAGATGGAAGATATAAGAAAGGAAATTCGTGATTTGAAGCAACAATTGGACTCCCAATTCGGAACATTTGTTAAAATGCATAAATTCATGAGAAAACATGGGCAAGATCTATCTGATGATGAGGATGAACAAACTGAATCTGATGTGTAGTAGTTTAGGTGTGGTATTTTGGTTGATTGGTAAACTTGATTGTGAGAGACAACTTTATGTTTTATTTTTAAACTTGAATGTGGGCTACTATTTGGATATTTTTATTCCCAAAATTGTTGGTTTAATGGTTGATATTGTTGGTTTAAGTTGTGTTAATAGTTGGTATTGTTGATGTAGATTATGTTAATGGTTGGTGTTGTTGGCGTTATTGTATTGTACTACTTTGATAGGTGGTGTAGCTCAAAATTGGGTAGAATTCTGCCCAGTTTTACAGAAAATTCTGATTGATTTCCGATAGAAACAGTCGGACAGCTTCCCAGATTTTACCAAAAATTCCCAGATTTCCGATTGATTCGATCGGATTTTTTTAAAAAAAAATAATATTTAACAGTTTTCGACGAACTCCATTGGAAATTAATAAAATTTATTTTTAATTATTAATTTCCGACCGATCAGTCGGAAATTATATATTTATATTATTTAATTTTAAATAGATAATTATTTTATTTATAATATTACGACTGATTCAGTCGGTAAATTCCGACCACTTTGGTCAGAAATTTGAAAATATTTGGTCATTTGCCCTTTTGAACGTTCCAATTATTTTGGTCGGAAATCACCGACGGATTCGATCGAAAATTATTTTCCGACTGACCAATTTTAGTCAGAAAGTAGTCGGAAATTCGTAATTTCTGATCGATTTCCTATAGTTTTGGCGGTCGAAATTCTGCCATTTTCTAGTAGTGATTATAAATCGAGCTTCTGGAAAATATACTTTAGCAGATACATAATTCTCTGCTTGCGCTCATTTTTTTAACTCCTCCACACATCCTTAGATCACCAAATGAGTCATGATAAATGCACAAGTATCAATAATAACTACTGGTGGAATATAATACAAAAGTTGCACCAAAACTTGTAGACATTTTTAGAATGTAAATCACTCCATGGAAATCATTTGTATTTATAACAATCATGAATATAACTTACACATATTTCTTTTGCCTTCTCATTCACATATGATCCATTATTTTTCTTCACCACCCGTTACTTATGACGGACCTACATCAACCCCATCATGCCTTAGGCTCCCAAATGCTTCATTGATCAAAAATTCTATAGGATTTTCAGGAGGTAATGTATCTTGTATATCTTCAATATTTATAGAATTAGACAGTACATTTCTTTCACCATGAATACTCCAAGTGACATAATTTTGAGGGAATGGTTTGCAAATCAAATGATCGAGCACTACATCTGTAGTCTTCCACTTTGCGAATCCACATTTAGGATAAGGACATTTTATATATCTCCTACAACAACATTAATTAGCAAATGCAAAATCTAAAAACTGATTTAAAACAAACAAATATTCAGTTGTGTTCCTTGACTTTCTAATCCAAGATTTAACCGTAAGAAAGTGTTAACTTTCAAGTGTAGCTGATGAACCTTTTAGAATATAAAAAGAAAATATCAGTTCTCTATTATTAAACTACAGAATATTAAGTATAAAGCAATAAATACATATAACAAAAGCCATTTATAATCATAAATACTACCAAACTTAAAAATCCCAAATTTGCATAGTCATAATCAGCGGCGGATCCAGGATTCGAAGGTTGCGGGTGCCAACATGTTATGCATACAGTATTCATGTCACTAGCTACAAAGACATATTAGGAATAATAGATCGGTTCTGTTAGTTTTTTGTTAATTTAAATAGACCTTTCATTCACAAAGCAAATAAGTTCGATTTTAGTTTAATTTTTTAAAATAAAAATGCAAAAGAAAAATAACATTTCATGAAAGAGTGCCTCCAATATAAAAACTTGCTTAAAGAGTAACTTAACTACTATATATTCTTTGTTTGACTAGCTTAATTTACTTGTGTTGTTCTTGAATTGATTTTAATTGTTGATTTATATGATAATTATTTTCAAAGAAAAACCTTCAACATTCAACCTATGATATTCGACTCAAAACGACTATCAATTTTCAAAACCAAATAGAAGATATTGTTCAAATTGTACTCTAATATATACATTAATATCGTTTTACTAAAAAGAAAGAAATTATACGCTAATTAAAATCAATTCAAATTACCTATTGAAAATAATTGCTCATAAAGTAAGGTATAATGATAGAAATAAAATGAGGACTTAAAGTTAAAAAAAATGAAGAAGAGAGATTTAGCAAATGAAAGGAAGCAAAGGAGGGCAAGAACCGATAAAGAAGGAATTTTCAGTCCAACTGAAAAGAAGGAAACCTTAATAAGAAGAAAAATAGGAAAAAGAACTGAGATGGTCCAACGACATCCTTCAAAATGGACATTGAACCAATGGCACCCGCGTCCACTTTGTGAATTTTGGGTGCCACTCTATCAATATATACGTTTATTCACAAAGATACTATGTACATAGCAAGAATTTTAGTGAAGCGAGCGGGTGGCGTGGCGTGGCACCCCTACCTCATAAGGTAGATCCGCCCCTGATCATAATCATATGTCCCAACAATAATAAGTAGATTCAAAGAGATGGAAGTCAACAAACTATAAGCAATATGATATAAATTCACTGTAAGTTATCAAAAAGGAAACAATTTATTCAAAAATATTTGTCGCAAAGCATCTATTTATTATACCGACAAAGCCACTAGACTAGGCTAATTTCAGCACGTTTTCATTTACGAAAAAACAAAACCTCTTTTATTTATGGTAATTGCTCCCATGGGCCATGTCTTTGCACTTAAACGTGTATGGATAATTAATGAAGGTGAAAAATTAAGGATTTCATTTATAAAATTGACCACTGTAAATTTCAGTGTAAATTTTCTTATTATCAGAGTATATAAGTGATATATATATAATCTATTAAGTAATATATATATATATATATATATATATATATATATATGAAAATAGTAGGTAATAATATTACTATAATACAGATAAAAAAGAAAGAGACATCGATATATTAGAGACATCTTCTCCATTTACCATGAAATACAAGAACTCTCTCTCCTTTCCTCTCCTTCCTAAGTTCTTTGTGAAAAATTCTTGAGCAAAAAAAAAACATCTTTTACGATGTATTGAAACAATCTTCTACAACTCAAGTACGCAGAATTTTAGACTGTGAATCTTTAGGGTTTAATTGTGTTTATAATATGTGATTACATATTATTGATAATTAAACCAAAAAACTATAGTGAATTTTGAGAACTTTGTGTTCTTCTTCCTTTTCTTCAATAGCTCCAAAGGTTTTCAATATATGAGGGATCTCCTCTTGAATATTCTTCCCATGTTGAGGAGTTTATTCTTGGAGGGCTCATCATCATTGCCTCCGCCATATCAACAAGCAAATTAGGCATATAAAATACATCATCCTCATCTACATATTTCTCTCCTATAAAAAAAATGGAAGAAGATGTTAATCGAAATAAGCAGGTGTCATACGAAAATTAACAAAGTAAATCTTGAACAACGATAAATCATATAACTAAAAAGATAAAATTATTTAACGTGGTTCGGTCAATTGACCTTCATCCGCGTGCGGAGATGAGCAATCCACTATATAAAAAGAGTACAAAATATTGAGAAAATAATTTCACAAAGAGGCAAATACAAGTGGTAGAATAACATACTTGCCCCAAAAATTCTTTTCCTAAACAATACTCTCAAACCTATTATCGCTACATTATGGATGTTACTAAATGAGAAGGAAGGATCTTTAATTTATAGAAATCAAAATCTTTTCCTCAAAAAAAAAGGTTAGATTTTCCTTTTCGTAATAGAAAAAATCAATTATTGTAAATATGTTGCCCTTCATTCAAGAGATAAGAAAGTAAGAAAATTAGGACAAACTCCTAATAGAAGATTCATATTGTCTTTAAATATATATATATANTTCAATTGAATCCCCTTCATTACATGTAGCTCCGACTGAATCCCCTTCATTACATGTAGCTCCGCCACTGTTTCCTGATAACTTATCATCATTACCTTGTTGAGCCACCACTATGCCATCTCCGGCTTCTTTCTTCATCAGCGCGGCTGCAATGGCTGCCGCGCTTTGTATATCGGCCGGAGATGGTGAGGGAGGGAGCTGTGGATAGAAATTGACATGACAAGGGAAGTTTAGTACAACATTACTACTTCCTTTTAAAGCTAATGCAGCAACATCATAGGCAGCAGCAGCCATTTCTGGTGTAGGAAATGTTCCTAACCATATTCTTGTAGTTTTACGTGGCTCTCTAATTTCAGACACCCATTTCCCACTTCTACACCGTATTCCTCTATACACAGGATGTTTGGTATTTGTTCTTGGTGACTGTTTGTTTTCAACTACAATGTTTGATAGGTCAGCCATATATATGTGTCGATATGTCGGATTTAACTTATATACACTGACAGCGTAACTTATTTTCGCTCTATCAGTGCACTGAAGTTAAACACCGAGCTATATATATGTGTCTACACACAAAGAGGCAAAGCCAAAATTTAAAGTTTCAAGGTTCGGGAATGTGTTTCTCACTAGCTACTTATACATAAGGGAATATGATATTTGGTATATAATTAAGGGGAAGTTGTAAGTTATATATATATATATGTTTACTTTAAAAAAAGTGAAAGCGTGGGCAATTCGTGGTTAAGTTGCTACAAAAAGGTTTTATTTGTTTTCTTGTGGCAAAAATGGCACACGTATTTGGAAAGAACTACAGCTTTTATATAATATAATAGCTGTTATCTATTATGCTTAATCCATTTTATTGCTGGCAATAATATTTTCCCAAACAATTTAATATGAAAGTGGGAGTACTTTTTATTCAAATGGGGGGAAAAGTTGTGTTTTGTAACCAGATGATCTAATGGTATGGAGATTTTTCTTATGGTCGACGTTATTATTATTATTATTTTGCTATAATATTGTCAATTTGCAAATAAATTATATCAAATGGAGGTGCTAATGCTGTTGGTTTTTTTAAATTCTTCTACTCTTTGGAAATATAGAAACTTGGATTAGTCCACTAGAATAGCTTTGGTTCTTTAGGTAAAAGAATTATACTAGAAAAGGATATTGCAAAATCTTTTGCTATTTGGTAGTATAGGTGTTTCATTGAACCTTTGCTCACCCTATATCCTTAGGGTCGTTTTGTATGATCGATAAGCAAAATTAATTTTAGAATAAAAAATTTAGTACCGTCTTATCCTTTATTTGGTTATTAATCTTAAGATAAGTTATTTCAGTAATAAAAATAGTATCAAGATAACTTATACATATTAAAAGGTGGAATAATAATTCCAGAATAAAGCAGTAAAATTGACAATCTCAGGCTTAATACAACATACCAAACAGTCAATAAGAAATAATACCAGGATAAGGCCTTCTTGTATCTTCTCCCTAATAAAGTGACCGTCGATTTCTATGTGCTTGTTCGTTCATGATATATAGGATTCGCAGCAATTTGAAGTGATGCCTTGCTATCACAATATAGTTTAACAAGCAAATTCTGCTTCACCTTCAGTTCCTCACACATTCCAATGAGCCAAACCATTTCTGCAATTGCGTTGGCCATACTTCTATATTCAGCCTCTGCTGAACTTCTTGACATTGTACTTTGCTTATTTGATTTCCAAGAAATCAAGGAGTCTCCCAGCTTGACTACGAAGCCACTAACTGACCTTCTTGTCATGGGACAAGTGGCACAGTTTGCATCACAGTAAACTATAAGTTGTGAGGAAGGCTTAGAAGATAACAAGATGCCCAAACCACGTGCATTCTTCAAATACTTCACCACCCTTAGAGCCCTTTTCATATGTGATCTCTTTGGTCCATACATAAATTGACTCAGGTTTTGCATTGTGTAACTTATATCTGGTTGAGTCATTGTTAGGTAGAGCAGCTTCCCTACCAGTTCTTGATAATAAGTGGGATCAGACAACAAATCACTAGCATTGCCATCATCTTATAGTTGTGATCAAGTTTTGCACAGGTGAACCTTTGATTGACCTCCACAGATGTGCCAGCAGGCTTGGAACCAGCCAATCCTAGGTCTGCAATAAGGTCCAGTGCAAACTTTCTTTGACATACTAGTATTCCATCTGTGCTCCTTGCAATTTCAAGAATAAGGAAGTATCTCATCTCCCCAGATCCTTGATCTTGAAATACAGATGGAGAATGAGCTTAGATGCATAAATGAGAGAAGGAGAAGAACCTGTGAAGAGGACGTTATCCACATAAACCAGGAGAGAAGTGTCTCACAAAGCTTGAGATTCCATTATCGAGAGGCTTGTTTCAAGCCATACAGAGACTTCTGTAGCATGCATACTCTCCTACACTCCCTATTTCCTAGAAGACCAAGAGGTGGAACCATGTAAACATCCTCCACAAGATCACCCTAGAGGAATGCATTGAATTCACCCGTTTGATGCAACCTCCAACCATGCATTGCAGCCAAGGATAAGACAGACCTTGCAATGACTATTTTAACCGCTGGAGAAAAAGTCTCTTGGTAATCCAACCCCTCCTGGTGAGTATACCCCTTCGATAACAAACAAGCTTTGTATTTATTCATCTCTCCTTTAATATTGTATTTGACTTTGAATATCCATTTACAACTAATGGCCCTCTTGTCAGGAGATAGATCAACCGCTGCCAAGTGTACTTGTCTTGAAGGGCCTGCAGTTCTTGTTGCATAGCTGCTACCTAATGTGGATCATGAAGAGCTTCTTCATATGTATCAAGCTCCCTCAAGATGAGATGTTGCACACAACTTTGTAATAGTGCTCTGAAAGTGAAGCATATGATATGTATGCTGATAAAGGATAAGTTGCGCCCACCACATCATGTGATAGAGACTTGGAACCCTTATGAACATAGTACCTAAGCCAACTAGGAGGCTTGGAGGTTCTGCATGACTTTCTTGTGCTTGTAATCTCGTAAGAACCGGGAGAAACGGTAACATTTGGTACATTATCACAAGGAGCCCCACTAAGAGTGAGAAAGTCAATACCAGTAGCAAGGACCGATATAGCAATAGCATTCTAAGAGACAACAGCTGCAGAGTCTCCTAAATTCAAGGAAAGAGGAATAGAAGGACTGGAGGGGACTGACTCAGCTGCAGATGAAGGCTCCAATGGAGCTGCATCAATAGTAGTTTCAAGAACAAAGGGATCATGAAAACCACCCCAATACTCCACAAGATCAGGAGGTCTAAGTTGATAGCAGGAGGACCTGAAGGGAAACATATATTCTCTAAAGGAAATATCCCTACTGACAAAGAATAATTTATTAGCTAAGTTATACAGCCTATAGCCTTTCTGAGTGGTAGAGTATCCTATGTGCACTATTAGGATTGGGATTGCTCCAAATTTTTCACTTTTGGCACCCAAACTTCTGGCATAACATAAGCACTCCAGTACCCCTAGGTGTTGTAGATGAGGACCTCTCCCATAGAATGCCTTAAACGGTGACTTTCATGCCAAAACAGTGGATGAAATCCTATTAATTAGATAAGCAGTATTCTCAACACATAATCCCCAAAAAGTTAGAGGAATGCAACCCTGAAACCTGATAGCTCTTGCTACTTCAAGAAGTTTTCCGTGCTTTCGTCAACAACTCTATTCTACTGTGGAGTATGAACACATGAACTTTGATGTACAATTCCTGCACTATTGAACAATTCTGTACAATGTGAGTTAAATAACCTTGTACCATTATCACTTCTGAAAACCTTGATTGAATTATCAAACTATATCTTTATTAATGAAAAAAACCTCTCAATACAACTGAGACATCACTCTTCAACTTTAACAGGAAAACCCTGACTATTCTACTACAATCATCCACAACTGTAAGAATGAATCTATTACCACTATGTGTAGGCACTTTGTAGGGACCCGTACATCACCATGAACTAGCTCAAATAGTTTAGTAGTTCTACTAGTACTTTGAGGAAAAGGAAGCCTAGTTTGCTTAGCTAGAGCACATATAGAACAAGTTCTGTCAGTATCTGTCTTGGCATCCTTACAAATGTTCAGTTGTTGTAGTATTCTATGAGGAACATGCCCCAACCTCTTATGCCACAATGTTGCACATTGAGTCATGGTAGCATCCAATGATTATGGTATCTTATTCTCTATGTTGTTCCTCCAATAGTACAAGTCATTGTGCATTCTACCAGTCCCCTTCACCTCTCCAGTGTAAAGGTCCTGCATCAGGATAGAAAGACATGAAACACTGCAATTCTCTAGTTAGCTTAGCCACTAACAATAAGTTAAATTTGAAGTCTGGTACACACAACACATCACTGATGTCACCTTATGCCAATCTACATTTACCAATATGACTAATAGGCAATTGTTTTCCATCAGGTAAATGCACTAGTGAGCCTTGTTTAGCATAGTCATTCAAATCAAATAACATTTCAGGAGTAGATATCATATGATCTGTTGCTTTTGTATCTACTATCCAACTGTGTCCAGTTTTACTAGCCAGAAAAGAACAAATAGTACCTGCCATATTGGCTGATGTTTCTGGAACATTATCTTTGTTGAGTATTTTGTAAAATTTGACTATATTGTTCTGGAGTAAATGTAACAGTGGCATCACTTGTAGATCCCTGAGATTTTGCCCCTTGCATCCGTACAGGGATTTGAGTCCCTTGCCTTTGCACTTGCATATGGTTGTTGTTCCTATGTGTTGTGCCTGCATAAAGATTCCCAAAAGCTGCAGTCATACCGGTTTGCCCTACACTGCAGTTTCCTCTAGCTTGAGCTGTGAATCCTTCATGTTGTGTGGCATGCACTTTTTGATGAGAATTACCAGCAACTGTTCCTTGGTGACCAATAGGTCCTCCTTGGTAACCAGTAGGTGCTCCTTGTGTTCTTTTGCCTTTAAAGTTTGTCGGATAACCAATGAGCTGGTAACAGTTTTCTTTACTATGTCCTTTCATCTTGCAATGTTCAGATATACTGTAATTCCTTTTTTCTTATGGATTGAACCTCATTTTACTGTTGAGCTCTATGATGTAATGTCATTTCCTTCAGCTATTGAGTTTAGCCAAGTGTGGGATAAGGTTCCTGGTATGCTCCTTTGACTTTTGTCCTCAATAATAAGAGCATAAGCCTGATTCAAAGTAGGTTCTACGGATTTCATTAGAATCTGCATTCTAGCTTGAGCATAGGAATCATTCAGTCCACTTAGAGATTGTAATAGCCTCTGCTGCTAAAGTTGATCTGCATACTCCTTCAAATTTGTTGAGGGTACTCAGCCCAGAGCTATTTGAATTTCATAAAATAGATGGACATTGAATCTCTTCCTTGGGAAATTATAGCAATTTATTTTTGTAGTTAAAAGATCCTCATTCTATCCACCTTATCAAACCTCTCCTTTAGATCTCCCATAATAGGTAAGCATTAAAGGCATACACGATTTCACTAAGTAAATCTGGAGATACTGTGTTGATAATCCACGAGAGCACAATCGCATTACAAGTCTCCCAGTCTTCATATAGCTATGACCTAAACTAATCCTTAGTGCATGTGCCATTGACGAATCCTAGCTTTCATTTGTCCTGAAGAGCAATTCTCATCGATCTCTGCCATAATTCGTAATTCTCAAATCCGGTGATTTGGGCTGGAATCAACACGGAGCTTGGAGTATCTGAGGGGTACACAAACAGATGATGAGTGTAGTCAATCTTCTCTGTCGCCATTATCGATTCGATGTTATCAAGGGAAGGAGATGAAAACAAAGGAGATGAAGCTTCGTTCATATGAACTCAGAGGAAAATTAGACGAGAGTAATGATTGCACAAAGCTCTGATACCATGTCAAACATCTGTCATGGATGCTTTTAGATTGAGCTAAGAGAGATCAGAGCTAAGAGAGATCAGAGCTTAGAGAGGAACATAGAAGATGAGGAAATATTTTCCATGTTGTTTTGAATAACCGCATATAAATAGCGCATATATATATGTTATCTCAACTGCATATATATATATATATATATATATATATAACCAACTGACTTTAACTAACTTCTAATTGTATAATTAGTAATTAATCTAACACTCTTTCTAAGTGCCAACTAGCTTCCTACTCACGTGATTGAGCTAAGTCAGTTGGTTATATATACATGTTGTTTTGAATAACCGCATATATATATATATATATCCAACTGACTTTAACTAACTTCTAATTGTATAATTAGCAATTAATCTAACAGACTCTTTCTAAATGCCAGCTGGCTTCCTACTCACGTGACCTTTATCAATAAGTTATCTCAACCAAGTTTGTGTTTAAATATCTGTTTTTCTTCTTCTTTTGTTGATTACTATGTCGCAGATTCCGAAAAAGTACAACTATAGCCGTGTCAGATACTCCAAAAATACACTATTTCTGGAGGATCCGACACACACCCACTAATATTTTCGGAGAGTTCGAGCAATATAGGTTTATTATACAACGGCCTTAACTTAGGAAGCTGTAACAAAAACTTTACGTGGAGCAGTTCATTTCACATAATATCATGCAGATGTGGATCTAGGGGTGGATTTTCGTTCACTCCAACTAAATTTACTGTTTTCGGCTCGATATATATACGTATAAAAGAAGTAAAATATGTATATATAATCATTAAGATCACAATCATTTTGAACTACTAATTTCATACCTAAATTCGTCTCGATAATCGTGTAAATACAATCACAATTAAACAAGAGAATAATAAATCCTTTGTAATGTATATAAACACATCAGCTTTTTCAATTATTCTACAGCTGACAAATTAATAATCCAACTTAAAAGTTGTTGAAAATCAACTGTTCCTTATGTGTCTTTGGGCCCTATTCAAGTTCAATTAATGATACTTATATTAAAAACGCAA